ACTTAAGACAATAAAAAGTCTGACCGTTTTATCGAGTCAGCATTTTGGAACTTATATTTATAGATTTACATAAGTTATGGATTGTAACATATTGTCTTAGTAAAAAATAAAATGCCTCGACCCAATAAAGGCAACTGTTAAAGTGAACTTTTTTAACCTTAATTATTTCTTAAATTTACACTACAACACTACACATTGAATAAAACCACTTATACGCTTTTTTAAACTTATTTTTTGTTTGTACAATATAGTGTGTTTTTTATTATAGGATTTCAAGCAGATGGCAGCACCCATCCATCTTCTCTATTGACATTAGGATGTTTTTTTTAATTGCAATAGCCTCTCGTGTCATCATTGGTAGGAATAGGTGTTCTTTTGCGAGGATTTGTGGTTTATCAAATCTGATGTAATGGTGGGGACGATTTTGAACATTTTCACAGACTGCAGACTTCACGGAGTTTCGGTGCTTCACATCAGCTATATGTTCTTTCAAACGGGTTTTTATAGATCTTTTTGTTTGTCCTATATAAGAGATACCACATTCACAGTCTAGCTTGTACACTCCTGCATCTTGTAAAGGAATATTACACTTGAAGAATGGTAAAAATTTACTACTTAGTCTTCTACACGGCAGTTTGTAGTATGTTTTAATGGAAGCTCGCTTTAAGATGTAGCAACCTTGTCTGTGACTACTCTGACATACGGTAGTAAAGCAGGCACACGCTCGAATGTAGCCGGCTTCACTTGGTCATTGCGACGTAGACACGGGACCCGCAGCTTGTTGTCGTGCAATACTTGCTTGACGTGCAGAAGCTCGGCGGCTAGATTTTTTTTTGTCACAGATACCTTGTGCTCTCTGAAACAAAGATTTACCTACAGTCGCTAACTGTGGAGGATGATGGTGAGATTGACCATTTATATATCGGTTAGTATGGGTCTTTTTTCTATGCACAGTGTGACCAATAGTGTTATCAGGGTTGCGGATGACTAAAACATCTAAGAAGTCTAAAGAATAATTTCCCATAACTCTATTGTGAATTGTATTTTAGATTTTGTGGAGTTAAGGTGATCTAAAAATGCAGTTACTTTGTCAGATGGTAAAATTGTGAAATTGTCGTCTACGATCCAAGATTCCAAGATATATAAGCTAGCAAGCTACCGCTTGTAGAATCTTGGATTTACAGGACAGACAGATATGTACAGGACTTCCTCCTCAAATTCCTCCGTGAATATATCGACGACTATGGGTGGAATAGGTGAGCCCATCGCCACAACATCTACTTGCTTATGGAAACTCTTTCTTCCACAATAGATAGCCAGACGTTTGTATAATAGATAGCAGTGTTTGAGTAATACTGCATATTCTGCAGGCGTATTCCCTTAATAAATCGCTAGTTGTTTTAAGCGTTTTAGTTGTGGGGTCTGTTTTGTCCTTTTCTTATGTACTTTCGACCGATAAAATTTATTGTTTTTTTTTAAATTATACTCTGTCGTGTCCATTATAACCGTATCATTTCCTTTACCCGCGTGGAGAATCGTGAACATAGCTCACGCGCGGAGAATCGTGACCAGAGCTCACGCATAGAGAATCGTGACCAGAGATGACCAGATTGCGTTGCGATGGGCACACCTGTATTTCCCATAGTCACCATCATATTCATGGAAGACTTTGAGGAGAAAGCCATTCTTACTGCTCCTGTAAATTCAGGATTGGATTCTACAAACGGTACGTGGATGACATTTTAAGAATTTTACCATCCGACAAAGTTACTGCATTTTTAGATCGTCTTAACTCCATAAACTCCAAAGTATATTTCACAATGGAGTTAAAGGCAAATAATTCCTTAGTATTCTTATACCAATTGACGGAATTGACAGATTATTAGCGCCATCTGGTATCAAGCAGCCGAAATAGGAGCGTCAAAATCTTTCTAGAACTCTCCCACTAGCGCCATCTAGTATCGAATGGAAGAACTAAGCTTTCTAGAAAGCCCCACACTCGAACTTTCTGCACTTATTCGCTCGGGACCGGTATTTGCTAGAATATTCTGGATGTTTCGGTGGAAAAGACATATTTAAGGCCATTTGAGGCCGCGACCGGGGCAGGATTGAATTGGCGATACGAGCGAAGCATTTGAGTGAAATAAAGTGTTAAGTATGAATAATTATTAATGTGATTTAAGTTTTAATTGGTGTTCAGTAATTAATGTGTCAAGCTCGTAACCCTAATAACACTATTGGTCACACTGTGTGTATATAAAAAGGACCCAAGCGAATCGATATACAAATAGTGAATCTCACCATCATCCTTCACAGTTAGCTACCGTGGGTTAATCTTTGTTTCAGAGAGCACAAGAGATCTGTGACAGAAAACATCTGGCCGTCGAGCTTCAGAACGTCGAGCAAGTATTGCAAGACGACAAGCTTCGGGTCCCGCGCCTACATTGCAGTGACCGAGTGAAGGTGGCCACAGTCGAGCATGTTTGCCTGCTTTACTACCGTATGTCAGATTAGTCACAGACAAATTTGGCTACATATTAAAGCGAGCTTCCATCAAAACATACTACAAGATACCGAAGATTAAGTAGTCAATTTTTACCATTTATCAAGTGTAATATTCCTCTACAAGATGCAGGAGTATACAAGCTAGATTGTGAATGTGGTATCTCTTATATAGGACAAACAAAAAGATCTATAAAAACCCGCGTGAAAGAACATATAGTTGATGTGAAGCACCAACGCTCTGGGAAGTCTGCAGTCTGTAAACGTATCTTGAATGCGTCCCCACCAACACATCAGATTTGATAAATCACAAAACCTCGCAAAAGAACACCCATTTCTACCAAGGATAAAACGCGGGGCTATTAAAATAAAAAAAAAAAAACATTCTAACTTCAATAGAGACGATGGATGGGTGCTGCCATATGCTTGAAATCCTATAATGAACAAAATTAAATCTAAACCCAAGCATACCACTGCAAGACTTCAAGATACTGTAAGCTCGTTCTGCGTAGATCAGACCAAAAATAATATTCGAAAACTGAAACTGTAAAGCATCGGAAACGTTGGTAATTAAAAATAAGTCAAAAATAAGTTAGTTAAAAGCCATAATATCCGTATAAGTGGTTTTATTAAATGTGTAGTTTTCGCGTAAATTTAAGAAACCATTAAGGTTAAAAATTTCCACGTAAAACAGTTTTAAGCCTTTATTGGTTCGAGGCATTTTATTTCTTACTAAGAGAGCATGTTACATTTCCATAAATTATATAAATATAAGATTAAATTCCAAAATGCTTACTTGATAAAACAGTCAAACTTTTAATTGTCCTAACTAGAAAACCTATCACAAAATGTGATTTAGCTTTTTTAATAGGAAATCCGGATTAAGTGATCCTAGTTGTTATGCTTATTTGTTTTTTTTTTTAGATAAGCGTTTAAAACTGAGAGTTATCTAAAGTGAGAAAATTAGCTTTACTTTTAGATGAGACCTATTACATAAAATAGATCAATTAAAAATTTTTAATTGGTGCACTTATAAGAACAGATATACCAAAATTAAATAATTATAGTAATAGAAGAACATATAATGTCACAGGAATAATTAGTGCACTTGATGGGATAGAGCAAATTGGTGAGGTTGAAATGCGAGAGAGAACACCGAATGACGAGAGGCGCATGAGATTTTAAGTGAGATTGAGAGGTTCCAAAGACAGCTGTACACATTATCGTTGCACTAACACATGTGAGTACACAAATTCAAGAATTATCTCTATATAGATATCATCGCAGTCTATCGGAATTCGGGGCGTCAATCAAAGCGAGATCAGAATGACTCTTCAGCACTTTAAAAATGGAAAGAACTCAGTTGGGGATAGAATTACTGCGAAGTTTATGAAAGTGGGTGAAAAACTAGTACTTGAAGTCCTCCAATTTTTTTTAATTCCATCCTCCATAGTGGCACTATAGTGACCACCGCACTTCTGGCTCTTCTCGATGAATTGAAGTAGAAATGCGGTGGTCTTGTTCTTAAAAAATGGCAACAACGTTCTATTATACAGAGCGATTTTCCTTCTCAGCCGCTTCAATGTGCTATTTTTAGAGTTGAATTATCTCGCACGCGGAATTGATAACTTCTAGCCTATCGAACAAGCCGATTTTCTAAAAGGATGTAGTATCATAAACCATATATCCTTCAAAAAATTATACAGAAGACGTAAGAATCCAATCTACTAGTTTTTCTTACGTAACAGACTACGAGAAAGCTTTGATTTCATTAAAATTTGACCGGTGCCACAGGCCCGTGAACGATACTTCCAGTGATGACTCCATTAACTGAAAATCTATTTAATTATGATTCAAAGTAGTCTAGTCGCTAGTGCGATCTGCCCGGCTCGCTCGGGTGATATCTGGATTCTGCAACAGCGCCACCCACCGGGTCCAACTACACTTATAACCTTTGCGAAAGCGCAAGCAATATATAGACAAAGTTATGGCTCAATCGGATGAATGGTGTGATAGCGCATAAAAACTAACAAACAAACATAAATTTTTATGAAGTAGATAGGTCGATAGCGCTGTGGTAAGCGTTTGACTGCAGCACTGCTGGCCGTGGGTTTAAATCATGTACCTTTATGTAAGACCTACTAATAACTTTCCACGGGTTCGGTGTTTGTGCAAATGTCTGAACGATACAGCAGTACATTCCAGTGTTATTATAACGTAAAACAAAATAAAAGAAATAAATTTTGTTAATAAACTATACATGGCTTTTAATTGATTCAGTTAGGAATGTTTGCACGCGTGCGTTATGCATGTAAAATACCTCCAAATTACAGGTGTAAATTCGAGAGATTTTCAGATTTTTATCACTTAATATGCTTGAACAATGTATAAATAGAAATGGAAACTAATCAGTAAAATTAAACTCATGACTTTCGTTTTATTGTTCTACAATTAAATTAATTTATAAACACATAATTTATTAAAATCACTAAACTAACCTTCGCCTTTGAATTCCCAAAAGGAATTATGTCGAGCAGTTGCATTTTCCAACATTGTTTTGCGTTAATCAAAACTTAGGCTACCACTCCCGTGCGAATCCGGAAACGGTTTAACGTTAAGTCTTATGTATTCGCGTGGTTAACTGCGCCGATACTTCACTGTCAGTGTCAAAAGGTGTAGTCCCATTATTAATTACGTCACAATTACAATGGCAGAAAACGCGGCATCATCAATCTCATTTCAATAAACGTTGAAAACAAAAAAAAAAACATTAAAATTTACTACTCAATAAAATTTTGTTCCTACAATACATAAATGATTTGCCTATAATTTTTTCTACTAATATAAAAACTACAATCCACTGGCTACCGATTAAGAGTCTCGAAAAATTGCATGTTGCATAGTGTGTCTTTATAGATGCTAGAGTCATGCTGCAGCTATATTATGGCTGTAGCACGAATGGGTCCGTGGTAGCTCAGATGGTTAACGCTCGCTGTAAATAGAACAGAAAGCTAGTAACCCGGGTTCGATCCCCGCCGGCACCAATGAAATTGTTAACTGCAATTTTAAGTGCTGATTTACCAGGTGAAGGAGAACATCGTGGGGAAACGTGCGTGTCTGAGGAATAAGAAAAAAATATTTCGAAGACATGTGAAGTTCGCCAACACGCATTGGGGCAGCGCAGCGGACACTTCCCTGACCTAAAACCCTCTCAGAAATGAGGGTTGGCCTGTGCCCAGCAGTGGGACGTATATAGGCTGTAACTTTACTTTACCTTACTTTACCGACCTCGACCGAGATACGACCACGCTCTCACGGAATATCACCGTAAAGTAAGCTAAATTAAGGTATATTCTCTTTTCTTCTAATTACTTCCTCTTTTTTCATCTTTTCCTGTCCTTTGAAGGCCTTTTTTCTGTTCATATTTTAAATTACAGCGCTCCCAACAAAAAAATCTCCTGTTTTATTTTTTGTAGGTTCTGAGAGAAATAGCTTTTTGCCGAAAAGACCGCCTATTTGTCACTCTATGTTTTTTTTTTGTTATGTAACTTGTTTTCATGGTAAAAAAGGAAGAGTATTGGAGAGTACTTTATTGTATAAAATTAGACCTCTCCAAAATAATGCCAGAACACACGATCTTAGTGTGACATAGCAGTTAGCATATATCCTAGCCGTTTCTAGTATTAATAATATTAGTGTCGTGTAATAACATGAGTCTTTGAAAAATGACTACATATTTGTGCTATTTGCTGTAGAGACTATCGGTCCGTGGGGTCCACGTGCAGTGAAGTTACTAAAGGAACTGTGTTTGCGACTTCTGCTTTTGGTGACGAGAGGGCTGGTTCTTTAGTCGCTCGAAGGCTAAGTATAGCTATTCAGTGAGAAAACGCAGCCAGCGTTCTTGGCACTATGCCACGGGGAGCAGGACTTTTTGACAGTTTTAATTTTTAGTTTTAGTTTTCCTATGTTAGTTTATTTTTTATTTTTATGGTGTGTTAAGACTATCAACTGTAAATATAATAACATTATTAACACGACATTATGTACAATTGTAAATCGTTATTTCAAATTATAAATTGAAACCTTTATAAGATAAGGGTGTATATCCACCTTGCAACTGAAGAAAAAAGGCATTATGAGTTCAATACCCCATATAATAGCATACAATTGTAGCGTAACAGATAGGTATAATTTATGTTACTGTAATTCGTGTTACTACATTATCAGTTAACGTGCATATATGTCGTTTATATTTGTAGGTGTTTTCCATTGTTAATCATGACATAACGAGAACAAATAATTTTTATGATGATTCACAAGGTAGTAGGTTAGTCTATATCGGAATACGTTTGGTAGTGATCACTTCGTTTCAATTATTTAACCATAAAAACCAATTACTTAACAAAAAAATATAGAACGACAAAAAGGCGGTCTTATTACTAAACGGTCATTTCTTCCAGACAACGTACAAAAAAAACAGGAGATTGTTTTGTTTGGGAGTACTCTAATTTAAAATATGAACAGAAAGAAAGAACATAAAATGGCAGGAAAAAATAAAAAAAGAATAAGAAATTAGAAGAAAAGATAAAATACCTTAAGATAATTGATAGAATCAGGCGTTACTTTGCGGAAATCCATTATAATAAAGATATTAAAAGTTATTTTGCAACCATTCGCTAAATTAAATAAAATGATGTGTCTTCCCTAGTTTTAAGAGCACCTCCCACCCTCCCTCAATTGCGTGCACTAATCCCGTCACCACCAATCCCAGCAACACTACTCCCAACGCCACTACTCCTAACACCATTATTCTAGGAAAGACACACCATCGACGATAATACGACACGTGTTTCGCCTCTACACGAGGCATCTTCAGGTGGTGTTGACTTTACGGCGGCTGACCGCTGTGCTATCTTAGCGTTACTCAGCCATTTTATTAGTGAAAATGACTTTATTCAACAAATCATAAAAGTGTTGGAACATTATATTTTATTTTTGGTATTTGAGCAGGAATAGTAGGGACCTCTTTAAGATTATTAATTCGTACTGAATTAGGTAATCCTGGATCTTTATTTGGAGATATGCTTTTATTATAATTTTTTTTGTAGTTACACCAATTATTATTAGAAGATTTGGAAATTGATTAGTTCCATTAATGTTAGGAGCCACAGATATAGCTTTCCTTCGAATAAATAATATAAGATTTTGAATATTACCTCCTTCATTAACTTTATTAATTTCCAGAAGAATTGTCGAAAATGGAGCAGGAACTGAATGAACTGTATTTATCCCCCTTTATCATCTAATATTGGTCGTGGAGGTAGTTCAGTTCATTTAGCTATTTTTTACCTTACATTTAGCAGGAATTTCATCTATTTTAGGAGCTATTAAGTTTATTACAACTATTATTAATATACGAATTAATAATATATCATTTGATCTGACCTGGCTGACCTGGCTGACCTGACTACAGGTGATGTTGACTTTACAGCGCCTGACCGCTAAACTATCTTAGTGGTCAGGCGCCGTAAAGTCAACATTACCTGAAGATGCCTCGTGTAGAGGCGAAACACGTGTCGTATTATCGTCACTGGTGTGTCTTTCCTAGAATAGTGGTGTTAGGAGTAGTGGCGTTCGGAGTAGTGTTGCTGTGATTGGTGGTGACGGGATTAGTGCACGCAATTGAGGGAGGGCGGGAGGTGCTCTTCAAACTAGGGAAGACACATTATTTTATTTAATTTAGCGAATGGTTGCAAGTAACTATTAATATCTTTATTAAAATACCTAACCTTCTTTTGTTAAATAATCACCTGAAACAATATTCAGCACGTTTATTGGGCATGAGAGCTCCATGCCACTCCAGGCTTAACAGATTAGATTTGGCGTAGAGGTAATTTAACATAATGAAATATGTTATTGTAATACGTGAGTGAAATTTAAAATTTAAGTAAATAAAATATGTAAATATCAAAGAGAATGTCAGAATAAAAGTTAAAAGGAAATAAAGTTGTAAAAGTTGATGGAATTATAGTAATAGTATAGGTATGAAAGAGAAAGAAACAATAAATATTATCGTTTCTTTCTTATAAAATAGTGTGAAAGCGTGATGAATATTTATCACGTTTATGGTCGTAAGTGAAATAGAAAAAGAATATATATGATAACTTAATCACTTCCTTTTCCCTTCATTACTTTATTATTCAATGACGGAGGAAGCATCGACTGATTATACATTTAAATGTAATGTAACGTAACTAATATATTACTTTAAGGAAATGGCAGACATAACTGAACATAAAGACTAAATATATTCGTTTAACTGAAATTATGAACATACAAACATACATTTATGTAATATGAAATTATTTAAGAACCTATCACCTCATTTGCATTTGTAGAGAAACCCACCAGAAGACAGACGGGCCATAATAATTTTGTGAGAGCGTTGTTCATAGTCAAAGAATTCGTGTTACAACCATAAATGTTTCTATTTTTAGTTCCGTTTAGACATTAATATAGTTGAGTTGACCATGTATGGAAAAATATAAAAATAAGACTTTGAATTAAAAGTAAATAATAGCTTCTCAAGTTAGTTCCCAGACATATACTTGGTTTTGTACGTGATAGAGCCACGAGGAATGGGTCAGATCAACCGGGGATGGACCACGCTCTCACAGAATACCAGCGTAAAATAATTAATGCCACTGTGTTTCAAATTATGAGTGTAGAGAACCGGAGACCCATTTTACTGGAATCGAGGCATTTCGTCTTAGTTCTCAGGGATTACAACGCATCTGCATTTTAATTCTAATCGAGCTTTAAATATAGATGTCTATGGGCCACAGCATCCACTTACCATCGGGTAGACTGTGTGCTCGTTTGTCACCCTTATTCTATAAAAAACAACTTGATTTCATACGTTTTATAAAATTTTAAGTTTAGATCCATAGTCCACTTAATTTAATTTTGCTCTACTTATTTTCATTAAAAAAAATTAAAAAGAAATTATCACAATTTTTTCCCTAAAAACTTAAAATTTTTGTGAAATCAATTCTAAAGCTATAAAATACAAAAAAAAATAATAATTTGACGAAAACATCGCGTAACATACATACAAAATAAAGAACGTAAAGAGTTGTGTTTACAATAAACCTTGCCCTATCGCTTGATTTTGGCTACCCGCTACACGTGGTGCGTACGATATCTACCCAGCGCTTGAACCCGCACACGGGTTTATTTTAATACAAATAAATCCCGCTGCGTAACGCGGGCTACACGCGTCGTGAAATTACATTCGATTTAAAATATTAGTTCAGAGTAATTTATTATTGACGGGCATAGAATTCCTTACGATTATAGAATTGATTTGTTATACGTTATGCCCCATATGACGAGCAATCATAAGACGTTACATATTGATGCTCATGTTTGCAATAAAAGAAAATTAGAGGTTTGGTTAAGTATATTCGTTTTATTTATCAGTATTGTTTTTATTTACTACGTATATTCAATACCTTAAAATATGGGATAATATGTAATGTCCTTCAGATCGA